CGAGATTATAAGAAAATTAGTTCAAAAACACAAAAAAAATTAATTAGTTAAAAAGACAAAATCAAAATACAAGTAAACGACAAAGAAAACATAAAAAAATAATTAATTAATTTTTGAAAAATATCTATACCTTGAACGATTCGTCAAAATTATGTAAAAAGAAATTAGAAATGTGACATGTGTCCACAGCAGTGAGTGGGACTCGACTGGCAAAGATGTAAGACAGAAAGAAAAGAGGGGATAGGTTATAGGAGAGAAATTATAAGGTGGGGAATTTTCTAAGTATTGGTAGATATGTATCCGGTAATAATTCAGTGTCCTCCTGTTTATTTAGTCCTGTATTCTGTCTTTTTATATGTAGCATTTCGGAAGTTAGTCTTTTACTATAACAAGTTCTCTGTCTAATATGTCGATTTCGTCCCATTTTAAGTCGTGATTAAATTCCATCCTGTGGCAAGAAATGAAAGAAAACTGAAAATGAAAAGAAACTGAAAGAGAGCCTGATTTTTTATTGATATCTGTTCTGTGTTCTTTTATTCTAATCCGTAATTGTCTTTTTGTCTGTCCTACGTACGTAGCGTCACAGTCTTGACATGAGATCTTATAGACAATTTCACACTGGTTCATCCTATCCAAAGAGTCTTTTCCAGTTTTTATAAATTTGTTCAATTTATTGTTACAAGAAAAAGCCAATATGCAATCGTTCTTTTTTTAAATTTGAACAAACTGTTCTGATAAATTTTTCACATATGGAATCGTAAAAATCTTTCTTTTGTTATTATTATTATTATTTGCGTTATTATTGTTGTCCTTTTTGTTAAAATTCTTGTGCATATGAAATTTTATTCTATTTTTAATAGTTGAGAAAATGAAATCTAAAGGATAACTATTGTTTAATAAAATTGTTATTATGTTTTCCAAATTCTTCTGTTGAAATTGTGGATGGGATAACATTAGTACCCTATCAACCATGCCAATAATAACGCCTTTTTTGTACGTTAAAGGGTGGTGTGAATGGAAATTTAAATATTTTCCCGAGTATGTAGATTTGTGAAAAATGTCAAAAATAATCTTCGAGTTGTCATTAATAATTAAAACATTGAGAAAATTAATCTGATTTTTATTACTAACTTCCAGTGTGAATTGTAATCTCGGATGTATGGAATTGAAGATGGAAAGAGTTTCATTTAGAAGGTCGTTAGGGACTGCAATAAGAATGTCGTCTACATATCTATAATAAAAAGACGGTGTGCATGGTAAACGTTCTATGGCTAAACATTCTAAGTCTTGCATAATAATGTCCGCTATGATGGGGATAATGGAGAGCCCATTGGTGTACCAAAGACTTCCCAATAAGCAAGAAATCATTGATATAACGTTATTTTAACGATATTTAGTAATATGTAACATTGTTAAATATGTAGGTTTTAACGTTCTAATCGACGTCATTATAAACAAACTTTGACACTGATTTTAAGGTTTCAATAACGTTGACATGGGAGTGTCTTAATATTACGAATAATGTTGTGCAAATGTTTTTATAATTTTAATATAATGTTTTTCATATAACATTAAATAAATGATTAGATTTAAACTTACTTTTAACCTAATTCATCATTATATCAACATTGACACAATATTAATATTTTATTACTTATTTCATATTCTTAGTAAATACAAAGTAACATAACATCAATGTTCTAATTTTTAACTCAATAAAGTTCTTCCTGCAATCACTTGCAAAAATCAAAGATATATGAGATTATAAATGCACGTGCTTGCACACACATCACGAAGCTGCCGAGAAGGATTGCACATACGCTGCGTTCCGAAATTCACTGCTGTCAGTGCTGGAAATTTATAGTTCATATCATGTCACATATCTTATAGATTTTCAGTATTGACAATACTGCACGTTGCGCGTTGCACGTTGTTCATACGAGTTGACGCTTACATTGAGGATAGAGATAGCTATATACCGGGTGTTTCAGACCACCCGTCCCACCCTTTTAAAACGTAGGGATGTGCTTGTAACAAAAAAATGACCTTAACAAACGTTGTAGGATTAAAAGGGGGCCAACTGAGGGTGACCTTCAATTTGACCTTGAGCTTGACCTTCAAAGTCATTTCAAGGTTAGGTTAGGTTTTTGACATAAAAGTATTTTCACATAAAATACAAAATATCTTGTAAAACATTCAATTTTTGGGAATCTTACCTTAATACTTTTATGCATAAAATAATGAGACGAATCAATTGATATAAAGAAAACACATAGTTGCTTTCAAGAAAAAGTA